TTGTAACGTCGGTAATACAGAACACGCATGTATCAAATCCAAAACGCATATACATAACATATAATCCCATGTATATACATAGCACATCCAAATTGTATATTTATAGAATATCCATACTGAACATAACATACATATGCCTATCCTATAATGAATATACATAGTATATACATAAGATGGACAGGATATTCCCTGTACATTATGGATTTATGTATATACATAAGATATCGAATGCTATGTGGGATACATAGGATATCGAATGGTATATGAGAGGTGTTTCCAGATTATCTTGGGCGTGCTTCATGACCTTATTAAAGAGACACAAATTCCTTCTTTTTTGTCGCGATCTCGATCTCTGCATTGAAAAATTGGGTTTCAATAAACAAATGACTGAACAAGGAATTCAGCAAACGGCGAGGGCAAAACATCAAATCCCCCCCATAAAGCCATCATGAATTAAGGCTAGACCCATTGCTGATGGTGCATCCAATAAAGGCTACATTATTGATCCAACAGTACGGATGGAAACATTTATTTTCCAAATCGTGCGTCGCGATGTTATATTACAATACGATAAGTAGAACAAAATCATAAAAAAGAAACCGTGTAAATTTAACAAATTGTATTTGCGGCGGGGGGAGGGAGATTAATAATAAAGCTCGTCAAGCCCTTCAAAGGATAACGATTATGTAATGTAATTCAGGTAACTATTACATTAATGAAGGCACTTTCGTTAACCATAAACGCACCAAATCGTGATTTCCTATTTAATACACCCAATCAACACATAAAATCTAAGTACTAGTTGGTTATATAATACCTTTTGAAAATGAGAAATAGCACGTTGATTGGTTCATTTGGGAATTACCATCGATCCATCTTTTACATTGAAAGTGTGGGTAGATAGGCAATCTGATTTACCTCCCGTTCTATTTTGAATTATTATGGTTTTCGATAGAATAAAATGCCTTTATTTATGCTAAAATGCATTGTTCAAGTGAACCGTGTTTTCCAAAAACAATACAAAGGTTAAAATATTCAACTCGCTGCAGGTCGAGGAGAAAATACTATAATATGCAAAATATTACTTGTATAGGTAACCTTCAGTTTGGTTCTCATATGGCTTTCATCCAGAATTATTTTTATGTACACATTTGTACTTAGCGTGCCATTTGATTCGTGTACATAATTAATTTAATAAAAAAGAGTGCCAAATAGACTAGACTGCAGTGTTACAGTACAATGAATTTTTTTGAATTTACCTAATATGTCCCACATACCTACATTCATATTCCACTTAACTAACGCAAAATTAGAAAGTAAAAGCCGGGTGGTGGGTACCTACTATATTCATTAAACACGTTTTACTTAAGAGCTATAAATATAATGATAAGGAACGCAATTTTCATACTTGCTCAGTATTTTTGTCTGGTTATCTGGAGTGTTGTAACCTTCAATTAAAATTACTTCCAGTAGAAAAAAACAAAAACAAAATGCATATCCCAGGTTTTGAATTGGACTATTCCCGAAAATGGAAATCTACCAAGTCCTTGGGTCAAGAGAAAAAAGAATCTCGACTCTTGGACCATCACGCAAACATCTAATGTTACAAGCGAAGTGTGTAGAGTAGGTACACGTGCCAAAAAAGTAATTAATCACACATAAATCCACTTTATAAGCAATTTCATGGAACTTAAACCTAGTTAAAAATGTTGCGAAAGCCCTCGTAGGTACCTTTGTAAAGATAGTTGTGCAATAAAGTTATCGTTTACTGCGACATTGCACGGGCTGTAATTTGAAATAGATTAATCGCAAAAATGTGAAAATGTCGACATAAAATCGCTACCATTATTACATTGACATTGTAGGGTTAAATTGCTCAATTTACCTAGATTTTCCTATGCAAAAAGTGGGACAACGCAAATCAGTCTGTATAGTGTACAATTATTACAATCGCTATAAAACACGTGCAATTCACGCCTTCGTTTAAAAAAAAAACGAGTTAATTGCGGTAATACGAAACAAACCTTGAATACTTTCATTTACTGAACGGATGAAAGTATAAAGCTACTTTCTCGGTGAACATTTCACGCCGATGGTTCCCCTTCTCGAAGACAAAGTGTACAAATTGAAAATACAGGGTGATGTAACAAAACAATTGGGCCACTTATAAATTGTTGGCGTACTAGAAGTTCGCTGTTTCTACAAACCAAAACATTCCAAGTTGTTTTTTGAAACACCCTGTATAATGTGAGCAGAAGAACACTTTGCTGTATTTACATATTACATTTAAAGAACAACTTTCTACTTGCCCCAGTGCTGAAATTTCAAACCTTCAGACGGACGAATGCAATTCATTGAGGTACAAGCTGCTGTTACATGCGGAATATGTCTGTTTGGCCGTTAGAAGTCTATGTGTACCTCAGTTTTATGCTATTTTTACTATACAAATTTTTCCTTTTATGGTTTTGTTTTGAGGCGTTCGACTCGGAAGAATATACAGGGTGTTTTTTTGGGAGCTTTAGTTGTTTCTGGGAAGGTAAAATAGGTAAGTTTTTGAAAATTTGTACTTAGGAGTTACGCTGAAGGCCGAATCGATGTAAAATATTTTCAAAACGGCCGCACTTCCGGAAACACCGGAAGTAGATAGTAACTTCGTTATTTTAAATAGCAACCCCAATTTTTTATTGGGTTTTTGGATTCTACGTGAAATTTCAGTTCTTTGGATACCCATATGTCGATATCTGTCATTTATGGTTTTTAAGTTATTTGGACTTTAAGAAAAAAAATGGCGGATGCAGATGGTACCTTGATAATTGATTACTTGAAAACGGTTGTAGTCATGGCATCCTATTTTTATCAGTGCATATAGAATGAATACAGCTTTCTTTTAGTGTACTTAAAAAAAGTTAAGTTGCGTAAGACCGCCCCTATGGAGATCCAAATTTATGAAACTTCAAAGACTAAAAACTCAGTTTTTTTAAATGGAATCACCATTTTCTTAATATTGCGTTAGATAAAGGACCGAAATGGGCATATTTCGACAATACATGTTCCTATAGCTATCTTTAACAGTTTCTGACTTATTCCCATTTTATTGAATTGACACTATTTTTTTCGAATTTTCTTTTTAGTATAGTATATAACTTGATTGAGAAGTCTGATCGAAAAAGTACGAATTGATTTGGATTCTACGCACTCAAATTAATAAGAAAAAGTGTTTTCCCGAGAAATTTTGGTGTAGTCGATTTTTGGTAAAAAAGGAAGGTTATACACTGCCTTTTTTTGAGCCCCGGAAAAAATTGTCTCAGATCGACCCGGAAAAAAAATTTTCTTATAGAATGTGGCCTGTAGAATCCATAATTTCAAACAGTTCCAAGATTGGGCTACTAGTTCAAAAGTTACAGTCCTTTGAATTTTTTTTCGAAATTGGTTTCTAGTCTATAACTTTTGATTGAGAAGTCTGATCGAAAAAGTACGAATTGTTTTGGATTCTACGCACCAAAATTAATAAGAAAAAGTGTTTTCCCGAGAAATTTTGGTGCAGTCGATTTTTGGTAAAAAAGGAAGGTTATACACTGCCTTTTTTTTGCCCCGAAAAAAAATTGTCTCAGATCGACCCGGAAAAAAAATTTTCTTATAGAATGTGGCCTGTAGAATCCATAATTTCAAACAGTTCCAAGATTGGGCTACTAGTTCAAAAGTTACAGCCCTTTGAATTTTTTTCGAAATTGGTTTCTAGTCTATAACTTTTGATTGAGAAGTCTGATCGAAAAAGTACGAATTGTTTTGGATTCTACGCACCAAAATTAATAAGAAAAAGTGTTTTCCCGAGAAATTTTGGTGTAGTCGATTTTTGGTAAAAAAGGAAGGTTATACACTGCCTTTTTTTGAGGCCCCGAAAAAAAATTGTCTCAGATCGACCCGGAAAAAAATTTTCTTATAGAATGTGGCCTGTAGAATCCATAATTTCAAACAGTTCCAAGATTGGGCTACTAGCTCAAAAGTTACAGCCCTTTGAATTTTTTTTCGAAATTGGTTTCTAGTCTATAACTTTTGATTGAGAAGTCTGATCGAAAAAGTACGAATTGTTTTGGATTCTACGCCCCAAAATTAATAAGAAAATGTGTTTTCCCGAGAAATTTTGGTGCAGTCGATTTTTGGTAAAAAAGGAAGGTAATATACTGCCTTTTTTTGAGGCTCCAAGAAAAAATTGTCTCAGATCGACACGGCAAAAAATTTTCTTATAGAATGTGTCCTGTAGAATCCACAATTTCAAACAGTTCCAAGATTGGGCTACTAGTTCAAAAGTTACAGTCCAATAATCGACAAAATACGCGAGGTTTTGGATTCTACTGACCAAAATTAATGAGAAAAATGAATTAAGGCAATTGTATGTAAAGTTGGTGTATTTAATAAAATGTATATAGGGTGTTTATTCATTTTTCCTGGCATCCTCATCCATATTTCTTAGCCCAAGCTCATCACACCCACACCGGTACCGGCAATTTTTGAACTTTCAATCGAATTTAGAGGAGAAAATGGCAACCGTGAGGGGGAATGTGTTGATAGCACTGTTACTTAAGATGATCAAAGGATACCATCTCCTCAACCACTCGATAAGTAAAGTGTACCATGGATATAGCAACCCCCAGACTGTTAACTCGAGTTATCGAGAAACGACACGCCTAAGTTCTATCTAAACCTCGTCCGTTGATAAAGTGCCTCTTACGACATGCGATGTTATTCTTTCTGGTCGCGAGTAAATGTTGTACGAACCTAAACTCATTAATGTTTGCAATGATGATAAAAGTTGCTAGCGTATGTCCAGAGAGGCACATTAGCAGTTAAAGGTCGAAAAACAATACAGAGAGATATGTACCCCACCATTTTCATTTATCACAATTTTGTAATATCTAGACTTCCATTAACAAATCTATACTGTTATTATTTATTGGTCGTTAAAATAACAGTTGATGGTGATTTGGTTTTAAATTGTAAGTACCTGCATATGTGTGTCCGTTTATGTATAGTGTTTTTGGAATTATAATATTAGACCATTGCGAATCAGTAAGGTGAACTTCATAACTTTTTCCTTACATCAAAACAGTGTACCCATGTTTTACAATCACGAATTTAAAAATTGAGCAATTAACTACGTCTAAAGAAATAAAAAGGACGAGACGCGTCTGGGTTTTGCTCAGATTTGCAGTTTAGGAACAAGAAGTGGGTGGTGCATTTTTACAGGTGATTTTTTTGACTTGAGGTACCTAGCATTGTTCTTTTCCGACCCTACACGGGTAAATATGTAGGTGACAAAAGCACAAAACCATGATGTTAAGCGGTTGGCAACGGATCTACGAGTAGTTCCTGTTAACGTATTGGGTGCAAAATTCAAAAAGCTTGCACTTGTGCAACCTCTTTGAAGATTTGCAATGAATTTGCACTCTCCCTCCCACCTACGCTCACTACTAAGCAAAAGAGAACGATCATCACAATTATTTAATGCTCTTAAAGTAATGCATTTTTCAGATGGACCTGCTGCTGACTTTGTTAATTCTACTGGCGGCCCTATTTTTATACTTAGTATATTCTGTAAACGAAAAGTACAAGTATTGGGAGAGAAGGGGCGTTCCATTTATCAAACCAACGCTCTTCTTCGGTAGCTTATTATCCTTCATGTTTGACAAAGACAACTTGCGAAAGTTTTTAAGAAACGCTAGTCAAACCTTTCCAGGACCTTACTATGGATTCTACGTATTAACCCATCCGATCCTAGTGATAACAGATTTGGAGATTATAAAACGGGTTATGATCAAAGATTTTGCGGCATTTCCCAACAAACTTTTCATGTGGGACAAGCAATTGGATCCAGTTCTTGGTGACTCGCTGTTTGCCGTACGTGATGACGAATGGAGATCGCTCAGAGCCAAACTCAGTGGAATATTTTCCTCTGCGAAGCTGAAGGATATGGTCACAAGGATGCAGATGAGTGGAGAACACTTAAAAGATCACTTGGGGTTAGTAGCGAATCAGGACGTTGAAGCAATGGACGTTATCGCAAAATATTCGTCTAATATAATCGCGTCATCTGCCTTTGGTTTCAATATTGACTGTTTTAAGAAAGACCATCGTGATTTTAAGTACTACAATGAGCACATAATGTCGAAAGGTACGATAGGCGAGGTCAAAATCCTTTCGTATTTGTTTATGCACCCACTGGCTAAACTGTTCAAACTTAGTTTTCTTGATCCTATCGGCGTGGAGTACTTCCGCAATATCTTCATGAACATATTAAAAGATAAAGAAGCGAAAAGGAGCAACCGTAACGACATTCTTAGTCTTCTTCTAAATATGAAGGATAGTGGCGATACAATGGGTAAGTAATTTTACCATCCAGAATATGCTGATTGATTACCTACAGGTTACAACAGAATGGTATCTCAGAGTATAATGTTCTTTGCGGCTGCACACGAAACCACAACAGCCACGATTACCTTTACATTGCGCGAATTAGGGTTGAATAGTACCATACAGGACCGTGCAAGGCAAGAGATCGCTACGGTGTTACAGAGGCATAACGGTCAGGTCGACTACAATTCATTAATCGCCATGAAATACCTAGACATGACCATTAAAGGTACCTAAGCCAAATGATTATTGATTGCCTGTAATGCACCTTCTTCCAGAAACTTTAAGGAAGTACTCAATTGTTTCCTTTCTTCATAGAGAAGCGGCTGAAGATACCGTCATCCCAGAAACGGGACTAAAGATCGACCGTGGGACTGGTATTATTGTGTCCACCGACGGCGTCCACCATAACCCGCAGTTACACCCCAATCCCAGCATATACGATCCCGAAAGGTTTAATGATGAAAATAAACATAGTGTGGCTTCGCAAGCCTTTGTGCCCTTTGGAATTGGACCAAGGCAGTGTTTGGGTATTAAAATACTTTTTTTTTCACTCTGAGAATCATTAGTCGAGGGAGTATGCCGTTAGCTTGGATTGGGCTCGCTCGCTGTTGAGTGTGCGATCCGTGGTAGCGGAATACAATGCGCTTGGGCGACAAGCTGCACCATCCAGATTAAAAGACGCACGCTGTATACTAATGTTTGTCTTACTTTAGGTGAACGGTTCTCATTTTTTTCAATGAAGACAGCGTTGGTGCACATATTGAGAGATTTTGAAGTTGTAGTCGATTCCAAAGAGAACAAGGAGGTAGAGATTAATACGGCGTACATATCCAGACCAAAAGGTGGAATTCATTTAACTTTTAGGAAATTGGATCACTGCAGCTGTGATCCGCGATACTGAAATACATTAGCAATTAAAAATAAAAATTGTATAAGAATAGAATACTATCTATAATAGAATCTCGACACTATGGTACGTAGTCGACGTACTTCCCAAACTAGTAGGTACCTACATATTTTGGTGAGGTGAACCAGTCTTGGCTTCAATTCATAAAATATGTAAGGTAGGTTTCCACATAATTATATTAGTCTTATTGGAAAGAACTCTCTTCGTGTAATAAGATTTTATATTGATCGAGTCTTTTTAATAAATGTGACAAGCGGTAGAGAGCGCGGTTTGACATTAACATAAACTTTGCAGGCTTTCTTGAAAATTTCAAATGGAACGATATCATTATTATACGATATTAGAAATTTAAATTGCAATATACATCAAAGTTGGCTTTGAAACAAAAGAAACACAATGCCAAGCAAAAAACTACTCGGCAGAGACTTCGTCGAAAATGATGGCAGACATTTTGACCATTTACGTTTGTCATAATGATTTTTTTTTTATTATTTAATTTTGAATCGTCTGATTTAAAATCTGAATAATTTATTATTCTTATAAATTAAAAATCGGTAATTTTAATTATTGATATTATTTTAATTATCGCTTGTTACGTAGTCTTTTGTTTCAAACTTGGGTCCATATTGCAATTTAAATTTATCCTATCCTCCCCTCATATTTTATAAGTCCCAAAATGTTGCAAAATTCCTACTAGATCGCGATTCATGTATTTTTAATGATATCTGTTGGGAATATTTCACGAAAGAAGTCATTCGTCTAATTAACCATGGATCGTATGCCCTCTAGCGACAAACCTGGAAACTTGAAAGTAATTTCCAGCGATTTCTCTTGGTCCCTTTTATGAACAAAACCTTTTTTCCCAAGCTGTGCAATTAAAGGTTCCATACGAATGGTCTGTGACCCTTCTTTATTAATAGGACACCCTGTACATTTAAGTGTCTTCACTCTAATTATGTACCCAAAAATGTACTTTGGCGTATGGACAGAATAAATATATGTACACATTGATAATTTTATCGACACCCCAAAGAATGTAAAAGTTGGCATCGGGGTTGGCATCTAGAAAGCAGAAATGTGAAAAAAACTTCTAGAATTCGAAAATATTTTTTAAATACAAAAACTTTACATACAAAGGTCTTAATTTATACACACGGAATTACGTCACCTTCAGCCCTAAAACAATACACCCTTTGTTTTAAAAAGGCTATACTTAGAATCGAAGAATTGTATCTGAGCACGAAAACGTCGCCTTCAGTCGGAACTTCAATTCTGACCTCTCTTTTACCTTCTTCAAACCTGCTCTCTATTTTACCTCAAGTGGGTGTTTAGTTTAGAGATATTAATTCAGGCAAGAACCATAGTTACTTTTGAAGTATGAAAAACATGTACCTCTTTAATTTCTGCTATTGAAGAAAGTCGTTGAACCTCCACTCGTTGATGCTTTTCACAGCTCGCATATAATTCCATGAATATCTACAGTCTGGAATACTTTGGGTAGCGGTTCAGGATCCCGAGATATCTGCACTGTTTTACTCGCTTTCAGTTAGATATCTTCTGTATGGAAATCCTCTAATATTTCACGCTGACCGGTGCAAAATAAACGCGGGTTGGTTAATAAATATTTGTGTTTTGTAATTGCAAGCTGCGAATACGTGACCACCTCACGAGGCTGTCGGCCAATTAATGATTTCCCATGCACTTCATAAATGAATCACCATGGTTGCGACACGACTGAAATTAATCTTACATACAATTTCTACACGGTTAAGTCATAAAAGCCAATTCAGGTACAGTCTAAACGTAAACTTGTATATCTACTGAAACTAATAAACTTTCTGAACCAATCTTTCTCCCTCAAAATTTAAATCATATTTTATACCCATTCCCAAAGAAATTTCAGATTTTTAAATACAGACGATTCCAAGACGACCGAATTCTGAAACAGGTTGGCACATTTCCTTCATAATTCGCAAAAATTTTGCACCCATGTTTTTTGGTGATATTCTTCAAGGAAACCTCCATAACCACTAAGGTACAAACAATCATCTCGAAGATTTTTAAAATTTTCCTAAGAATGTCAAAAAATCTATGGAGAATATCCGTCCCAAATTATAAACAATTTCTGAATAATATTTAAAGAATTTTCTGTCAATCAATACAAATTCTATGATTGACAGATGTGGACGAATCTCTGCGAGATACCTTCCCTCCACCAAAGTTGGAAACAATCTGTCACAAATGACTAGTGTTTCTAAAAACTCTTACCTTTGAAGGGTTTCTGGAGAACCTAGGGAGATTCCTTATGGAATACCCGTAGAACGTAGAAACTGCAAATCCATAAAAATCACTCAAAAAGTTTTAAACTGCCCCAAAAAATATCTAAAAGTATTTCAGAAAACCTATACAATATACAAATATTTCTCCAAAGTGATAAGTTTATGAACTAAAACATCACCGGAGAATTAGGGGTAAGGATTTTGGAAGATACTTTAATATAGGACGGAATAGTAAGAAAGGAGGCATAAAAGCTTTAAACATTATAACCATATTTGCAAAACAATTGTAATAAAATTGCTTAAAGTGTATATAATTATTGAAAAACTTTTAGAGAGACTATTTTACTTCTTTTTGTCTATATTTTTTAGTGGACTAGATTCTAACAGTTGCTGCTTTAACATTTCAACTAGTCATTACGTTAAAAAATTTCTATTTCCGAACCCGAGTTCGATTCTGAGAACCTTTTGGTTTTTAGCCGAACATGAACTCCAGAAAACCAAGCTACCTAGCAGAACGTTTTGGGCTCTACAGGCAAAAATCCATAAAAAAGTTTTTTCTGATCGATTTCAAACAAGTCGTTTTTGGACTAAGTTACTATTTACGGAACATGGACAAGTTTAAGATTGACTTTACTTATTGTTTTTGGAAACAGTTTTTTTTTGTTCATAACTTTTGATGATAAAAATTCTGAATATGTTGGATTTAACCGGTCAAAATATAAAGAAATAAAGTGTTTCCGATCGATTTCGAAACAAGTCGCTTTTGGACCGGTATTATAGGAAACGTATTTCAAAGAATATCGACAAATTTTGGGTTGACCGGGAGGAAAACTTTTTTTATAGATCTTGGCCTGTAAAATCCAAAACTACCAGAACCGTCAAAAGGCTCTTTAGCTCTTTACTTTTTTCCTTTTCGCGTTTATTTTTGTCTCATGTCTTTTAATGTTTTTTGTGTAATCTTAACAATTGTGTACGTTTCGATAGCATTTATAGAAAAGTGTATTTCTAAAAATGACTCCAGAAGAATCATACCAAAATTTCTAAACCTCCTCTAAGAGCGATCTCCAAAACATCTGGAAATCTTTATAGAATCTCTGAAGAATTTGAAAAAGTATTTGGAAAGCTAATCTAAAAAATTGAAAAACATCTGGGCAAGCTCTGAACCCTGCTCTGAACATACCCTGAAGATGGTTGTAACGGATGATTATAAATTAAACGATGGTTCGCTGATTCTTCCCGCAGAAGGGTGCCCAGGGTGTATATTTGTGTCTCACAGAACTTGATTGAAGATTTTCTCACGTTTATGGATCTTATAGCAATTTCTTCGTTCTCTTTGTTGTAGGTAGTACTTTTAGAACTTACCTTCCTATACTTTTACTTTCAGCTAGTTCAGGTATAAATGGTATAAAATTAGGAAAGAATTTAGTTTATTCCGCTTTTAGTGATATCTCATTAATAGTCAAGAATTTCTAACGAAAATTTTGGAAAAACATTAGTTTAAAATTTGCACTCCAATATGTTTCGGAGGATTTATGTAAATTTCAAAATTGACTCTCTTGTTAGTCCTTGTAGAACAGCAATAATTCCAAAGAGATGATTAAAAATTGATATACATTTATTTAAAAGTAAACATTGAAATGAAGCATTTTATATAAACACACTAAAAAGAGAAAAACAACCTAATTTCTATTAATTCAAATACCCATATATCTAAATAACACCATCTTAAAAATGTAATGATTATGTCCATATAGACAAATTACAATAATTTAAATTTTATAGAAAAGTTTATGAGACGTACGAATATAAACGCGTTTAGATCAATCACTTTTAGTTCACATGCAATTATGCAAACCGTAAATTAAAAAAGATAATAGGTACCTTTATTAAACATGCACACGAGTGACGTTATCCTTGGCGCTGCTGCAGCTCGAGTTGCTACTGCCACTGGTGGTGTGGGACTTCGATGCGTACTCCTCTCACCTGCCCCAAATCCAGTTAATATAGTCCGTGATGGAAAATACTCGCAAGCTGGCGAAAACAATCGCAGGCTGGATAATAGAGAAATCGAGGGCTTTTGGCAAATAATGCTAGCCTATCTCCATTAATGCCAATGCTGAGCTGATGTACGTCTTCTCACGCAAATCTATTCATTCTTTGAAGTTCTCGCCACTACAGTTATTAAGTACACTCGCCTTTTTAATTTACCTAGCCCTTAACTATATGACCAACCGCTTTTAAATCACAAATTTGTGTCGCTAATTGTTGCGTATAAGTTGCAAACTTGATGCGCTCATCTTTGCGCGACCGCTGTGACGGAGCGAATGCGACTAGAAGTCTCAATTCCCGCTCAGTACATGGTTATTAAAAGTGCAGATTCATGCAACATGCAATGCAATATATCTATATCTTTTATTGTTATGCTGACACCACTTCACTCACAAACAGGCGATTCTAAAACCTGTTACATAATATTCGTCTATTCTATAAAATGTCTTTACATTGTACGGCTTATTAATTACACCCGAACGTCTATTAATAAAGCTGTTTTGCTAACAGCAACTCAGTGTTTGTTCAGCGTTCCTGCATAACTCTGTTCTATTCTCTGGAACCTTACAGGAATACCTTCCTTTGGATCCAACGCATGCGCAGCCCCAAAGTTTAGCTGACCTTTCGTAGCAGCATCCCTTTCAATTTTAAAGGCCCTAATGAGGTATATAAGGCAAACTTTTATGCTCATCAATGCGAATCGTCTTCCTAAAAATGCGGTTAATAAACGGAAAGTCTAAGCGGGCTACTGACCCAAACAAGCTCTAGGACCAGTACTGAATGGTAGATATACGAACGGGTCGATCGGGATTGAGGTGTCTCCATTGAATCTATCAGGATTGTATTTATAGGGATCATTAAAGAATTCCGGATTATAATGCAACCAATGGGTTGGTATGATAATGGACGTACCCCTTTCCAAAACGGCACCTGTTTCAGGAATGAAATAGTCCTCAACACATTTGCGTTGTATGAATGGAATTACTGGATACTTTCGTAGGCTTTCTACAAAATTGAGTTTAAGTACTGTAATTCTAATTTAGTATAGGTAAACTCACCGCACACGACCATATTCAGAAATTTCAAATTGTCGATTGTGTGTGATGTAACATCATCTTCTCCCACAACTGTCTCAATCTCCTCGCGTATACGATTTTGTATATCCTGATTAATGCACAGTTCGTATATCGTCAATGAAATGATGGCACTAATAGTCTCATGACCGACGCCGAGGAAAGCAATTGCTTGCGCCAACAATGCGTTGTTATCTACGGCAAGATCATTACATTGGGCCCGTTACCCAGCAAACTTTCTTTACCAAGAGAGCCACTTTGGTTTTTGATATCAATCAGTATATCCACAAGATCGTTTCTTCTAACCCCCGAAATCTCTCTATGCTTTATTGTATCAGAAAATACGTTTTGAAAGAAATCACATGCGGTCGGATCAAAAAACTGGTACTTAAATATTTTAACAAGTTGAGGGAGAAAAATATACGAAAATCCTTTGAACAGACCCACGTAAGCTTTCGGGAATATCTTATGAGCGTAGTCATTGCACATGCTCTGCTTTTCTTTAAAACAATTCGAGTTTACTCCAAACACGCATGAAAAGACCACCTCCGTGGAAAACCTGGTGGTTAAATCCTTCAAATTCAGCCGTTCGTTTAATTGACCATCGATGTACAAGCGTAACGATTTGGCACATCTCTCTGTGTAAACTTGCATTGCTTTTACCTTAGCTGGGCTGAAGATGCGAGATAATCTTGTTCTAACCGTCCTCCATTGCGCGTTTCCCAAGCTCAGCAGTGAGTTACTAAACGTGGGATCAATAGATTTGTCGTTTATGAAGATTTTGTCGGGAAACTTTTGGAAATCTCTAACGAGTATTCTTTTAATAATACCGGGGTCTTTGATTGCCAGGTATGGCTTGTGCAAAATGAAAAATCCGACGTACGGTCCTTCGCGTTCGTTGCATAGGTGGGCGACGTACTTTGCCGGCGAATATTTTCCCATGAATATTTCGACGATGTTTCCCACTATTAATTTGGGCACTATGAACGGTATATTTCTATTTTTCCAATATCTGTAGCGATGTCGGAAGTAAAAGTACACTGTGAGACATAATGTGAGAAGGAATGCGAAAGTAATCCACATTGCCAATTACTGAAAGAAAAAAAATTAGGAATCGTTTTGGGAATATAATGCCTTGTGAGTTTGCGGCGATCTTGCACCAGATTGACGGAATGTAGGTATCCATTAAATAATTGTCTTTGGAAACGCGGAAGCCAACACTGAACTGTGCAATTATTCCGCAAATAATTACTCTTTCCCTCACTACTTACCGTGAAATCAGAATACTAAGATGTCGGAGCGTCGAACAACCCTACAAAATCGCAACTAACTGATACCAAACTAGAAATTATTTATATGATGCTGCGTCATTTGATTATCTACTTGTGTGGTTAAGTAAAGAGCTATTTCAAGCACTCTAGCGGTTGGTGTCCAAAATATACAGCAAACACATTTCTTTAAGTTTTCAAAAAACTTACTTCCTAAAATGTTTTCTGTTACTTATTATATAAGTAAGACAATCGAACATAATTCGTGCCAATAAGTAAATTAAAATAGAATTACAAACACACCATGCATAACTTACAGTGTCGAGGTCAAAGGTATGACGATAACTTAATTTTTAAAGTGGTTATCAATAAGTCTCAACAGCAGCACATATAGATACTTTACTATCGTATTCGTATAAATATTCTAAGGATACAGTGTCTAGAATGATGATATTTTATGATTAGGCACAATTATGACGATTGGTAGAGTCAATCTTTTGTCTATACTTGTAAGTTGGAAATGAGAGTCAATTTAATGGTATTGTCAATGGAGGTCCCTAGACAATCTTTGTTTCTTGGTAACATAGACCACAGTTTTTATAAGACAGACTCTATACTTTCCAGCCAGGTCGCGAAGACAGGGAAAAGGGGAGAGTATAGCAATTTACACGGCGGTTATACTTACGTTATTTGGTCGCTTATCCAGACCACCGGCTGGTTACTGTCGTTAAATACATTACACAAAATTTACTCCCAGATTATGTAAGTCAAAATAGCGCTAACAGAAATTAATTCATTAAATGTTATTCAAAATTTGTGGTAAGTTAGAAAATGCATCATTCCTTAAAATGAAGGCTTTAAGTAATGAAATTAAACCTTCTTCCTCGTTTTTAGAGCCAAACTAACTTATGTTGAGATGCCTACTTCCACTCAAAGAATGCGAGAGTGTAGCGAAATTACGAAACCCCATTAAAAACGATAGAAGACATGATAGACAAGTTTATACAAATTCGAATTCCTCAAATCCAAGGTCTTCCTGTTGGAATTTTAAAATTACCAAATCACACCTTCCGAAGGTGCCGTCTCAATAAAACCGTATGAAAAAACCCTAAAAGACGCAAGATGACGCAAGGCAATTAAACCTAATAATAATGTAGTTTTAATTTTACCCCTAAGTAGAGGGTTTAAACACTACGACCACTGCAGTCCAATTAATAATTAGCTTCTAAGGTCAATAAAGTATTATACAAATACTACTGCAAATATTAACATAAATAAAATTCAAATCCAACCTCTGACATCTGGCTCGTTCTGCCTCGATTTTTCAAGATTATTTACTTATTCATATACCAATAGATGAAATTTAAATTTACTAGTGCCCTCTATCTGCACTATTATTAAAATGAATACATAACTTTACATGGAATTCTGAGTTACGACAAATACACGTTACAATATTATGGAGTCGCCAAGATCTATGGGGTTTTTAAGAGTGCCCAAAGTCTTGCGACGGGGTTTTACAGTTTTCCAAAGTTTCTATAGATTTTATAAACTTTAAAGGTATTCAAAAGCTGTCAAAAGCGTTTAGAGGCTAAGAGCATTCTATGCCCAAGAAACTTCCCTTGATCGCTCTTTACTCTTTAGGTTTGTTGGATTAAAAACCTTCAACTGTTTTCAATAAACGTGAAAAGTTTTGAATGGTGATCAAGGGGAGACTTTTTAATTCTTCAAGAGCATTATTGATCTTTCAAATTATCTGTCTGTGAGTACTGAATTGTCTTCACAGCGTTATTCGATAGTAAAAAAAAATGCGTTTTCTTTCTTTAAGGGTATTTTAATATACGAATCTTGAAGATCTAAGCTAAGTGCATTTAAAAACAGTAATATCCACGTGTGCGATTTTGAGAACCTGTAATACGTGTTAAGCCTTAAACCCTATACCTTTGAAAGTGGTTTAGAAAGTCTTGAAAAACCTTTAGGGTCTTCAAATACTGTAGGAGTTGATCCTTTTCCCTTAGGTGCATTTACCAATTTTTAATAGCACTTAAGACCATTAAGAAGCGTTTATGAGATCTTCAAGTCTTTAATGCGTTTTAGTAGTTTTCAGTGGTCGTTGAAAGTGTTACTTACTCTTTAGAGTATTTAAGAACTTGTAAGGAGCTTTAATCGTTTCGTGGGAAGTTGGGTCACGCCCGTGGCACGTTTGAGTTTTCAGATTTACGTGAAATCGAGAATTTTTGTTTGAAATATAAATCAATTGAATCGTGGTTAAGTTTAGTTCCAACGTCGACGCCGAATTGAAAAAGTGATATTCGCGCTCGTGTGTTATCCTCAAGCTTCCTTGATAAAATACCTACTTCTATACTGTCAAAAGCTTTTCTGATGTCAAATAACACAATAAAGCAATGTTTATTTGAATCAAGCGCATCGTATATGTGGCTGAAATGTTCTCAATAATTTCGTGGCTTCTTTTACTTTCCTAAGCGAGCACATTTTATGACGATGCCTTATTCTTTGCACCTTCAAATGTCGGAAAAATTCTCATATGGATTCAAGGTAATGAGTGCTCCTTTTACAACTCCACGGCTGTAAATCAAATGTAAAAGGTTTTTTGCACTTAAAGGGGTGTTGATCAGCCCCTTTTTGAATTAAGTTAACGAATGCCACGTTTTGTTGAAACTAGGATTGCTTGCAACACCTGGTGCCTTTTTAGAAGTACAACACACGAAACAAAAATAAAAGTTCTACTCAAACTTCTTAAAAAATGGAAGTACGAATTGTTAATTTTACATATAACAATAGAGAAAATGTACGATACCTCTTAACTAAATTTCCCTGAAATTGTTGATTTCCTTCCACAGAACTGGCAAGCTCCTACGAGGATAGATGACGTCTCTGGGTTTTCTTTTGGATATGAACAGCTGTTGGATTTCCGCAAGTATTTACTTTACATGCAGAATACTATACTGTCTATCGTCAAAGGCAACTTCTTGTTTCCACAAGGGTTAATAATGGCTTAACCCAACTTTCAACAACGAATCGTACAATCCATTCATTATTCGGCATCGGTTACTAACTTTTTGAATTTGGTTAAGATCTCAGAAATATATAAAGAAAATTCACACAAATTTTTATTGGTAGGTTAACACACAGATGCGTTGAGTACATCTGAAATTGTTATCACATCTAATAACAATTGCAGACAAACTTCTATTAGTATTAGATCAAGAAGTTTGTTGCAGAAGATTAATGAACGATTAATAAAAGGGCCAGAGGTAGGGAAGGGGGAGAGTGGCGTAGAATTAGATCAGACTGACATTGCACCTAATGAATTGTACTTCCTGCAATAACTTTATTAGAATAAAAGACAAACCTTGTATAAGTGTCATTTGGCAAAATTACGTAGGCTACTGCACAAATGCATTTGGACGGATTATGTACGAGAGACTTTCGTATACATTTAAGTTAAATATTAAATAACACTTTAGGCCAAATTGACGTAAATAAAGAGAGGAAAAAATAGAAAGGATGAATATTTTGAGTACAGCGAGGTACCTTAAAACTACCAAATACACAACAGCAGTAAAAAAGTTAGTATTCACATATTGACTACTTACGCTAAACTCTAAACTCCTAAAAAATATAGTTTCTTTGCGGAATGCATAATAAAAGTATCCAAAAGTAAATCGGACAGTCCATCAAACGACAGTCCTAAAAGTCCAAATAACGCAAACACTTCGACTGTCGCATGCATCTCATCAAACTCACTCGTAAATTTTCCGTTCGGCCTGGCCAATGTTATACCCCCGTGGGCACATTCCATTGAGGTTGCTGTAACGAAGCAATGGTTATTAGTGGAACGTTGCACTATCGAGAAACCTTCGTCATTGGTCCGTTTCTAAGGCCGTGACGCCGGAAAGGTGCATGGAATTTCTTCGCATCGGATCATTGTGATCTCTACGTAGAGACATGTACACGAAAAGGCTGTTTTTTAAGGCAGCTTGTACCTGTAAACATCTCAGTTATGAATAATTCCCATGATTTCCAATAGGCGCTTTTACTTTATTGGTAATGGGTAGTGAAGCGACTATGGAGGATGATTGTGATCGAGCAAATGAGTGTGAGGAGAAATTACCTCTCCGTTACAGAAGCAGTACAAGACTGATAAAAATAATCCTTGGAAAGTAGTAAGAAAGTAAGTGCTATAAGACCAGAGAGCAAATTTCCATGCGTTTTTAAATAATCGGTAGTCCACCAAAAATAATATGTTGGCTATACCCATCAGTGGTAGTAGAAATATGGCGGCACGTACAGCTTTCCTAGATAAAAAAATCGATTGTCAGTACTATTGGGGGGGGGGGGGGGACAGCGGATTCAGTTGAGCTCCAGATCCACTCTAAATACAAGAACAGCTGCCAATTTATGACAATAGAGGACAAATGAAAAATAAATAAGAGCTCAACTGACCATAAATCAATTTAGCTTACGGAACTTGGTGGTAACATCAATTACATGAGAATATTTACCTAACTTGCTGTATTTCGCTGGTATGACTTTCCCTCAGCTTAACAACGAGGACTCTTACAATGTTGAGAAGAAATAACAAGTTGACCTTTAAAAAAAAATTAAATGAGCTAAGACCAATATAATTTATCAACTCAGCATGCACTAACTGACTTTGTGAATTTCGAATCTATGCTACAATTAGCCTGACTGTTATCTTTCAAACCTGCATTTGTTGAAGAACAAATGTTAAAAGAGTAGGTAGTAGTGGTATCCGGTACTATTGTAACTACGTGCAGTCCTTGTAAGGTAAACTAATAAAACCGCAAAGTCGTGTTAGTTTGTAGTTTATAATTCTCTTTGGATCTTTTAAATTACATTAGAGTCTAATTTGTTAAACAATTGTCGTACATATTTGAAGACACCTTTGAAGTATTCAAGTTTGAATTTTCAGCAAGTTATATGCTAACGTGACAGGAATTCAGGGACAGCCAAGATAATTTTTAACGACAAATTTAATCTGTGCTTTGTTGGTGCGCAGAGTTGTCAGTTTGTGATAAATTTTCGTGTTTGCAGGAAGAATTTGTCAGGCCGCGGATGGTATCGAGCTTTATTTAATTTTTGCTGAAGACAAATATGAATGCGTAACTTTTATTTTGCACAACAACAAACCTCTTTCTTTGTTAGGTTTTTTTTAATCATTTAAATGTAAAAAAGAAATTGTTTGCTTTATCAATTGACATGTATTTTTACGCATTGTTGTGTAAACTGCAGGGGGCCTCGTTTCTCTAGGGTGAAATAATGCCGATGGCGAAGATGAGAGCGAGCCACCCTGTAGTTGAAAGTTTACGTGCTGTGAACGTAGACACAGAATTTAGGGATTTTATTTAATGGTCATTGTAATTGTTTATTTTGTAAATTGTGAACTTGTATAAGTAATTTAAGGGTTGTTATTGTATTTAAATGAGTGTATAAAATTCAAGGAACGCACAAATTTAAAACGACGGAAGAAAGAAGACTTACCGGACACAAGTGCGTATAAAAGTTGCTATCGGGTAAATTAATTACATTTTTTATTACAGGGTTCTGTAATGTATATCTTCTGTTTAATAATAAATTTGTGTAATCTCAGATTGTCTTTCAATCATGTGTCAATTTGAAGCCCAATTTAAGATTCAGGTTCAATTTCATTCGATTATTATGTCCGATTTTCCTTCTAAGTTTGTCGTACCCGAATAGAATTTCTAATCCGCTTCAAAATGTATATAGCGTTTCCGTTTGAATTTACAGAATTCTTTTGCGGCATTTTATTTTATGCTTAGTGTGTAAAGTGAACGACAGGATTTCTCTTTGTGTCGGAAAGTTAAGGCAATTGAGAATAATGGTAATTGTAAGCTAGCTAGGTATTTTGCAAACCTGACTAATCTTATACACTTACATACATGTCAACAAGGAATACTAATATTTTTTTTACATTTATTTTAATGGCACTTACCATTTTTAGTTTGTTATAGTGTAGCCTGTTAGGAAGTGCTGTTGGCTACTAATCTCATAAATAAAAATAAAATAAGTAAGCGAACAATAAGTAAGAATTTAGCAAACGTACAGACCGTGTTGGTTCGAATTATGTTAGAGTTTTAAGGGTGATAAAAACAATGCGTTCAAAAAGTTTAGGGGATTATTTGCCCGCCGGTGATGTCAAGGATAACTTTCTGTAGGCTCGAAACGCCGGACCAGAGGCGGGTTATCTATTTCGGGGGCGAGATTCTGGTAATAGTTCAATCTTTTGAAAAAGCGAATGATTGAAGAAATTGCGATAATGTTTGGGGATGACGGAAATGATTAGGAAATACTTATAAGAAATGGTTTCAGATGATTTTGATGATGTTTCAGACATATAAAACAAATAAATATGTCGAAAATGTTTTGAAAATACCGACTACTTTAGTAATCGAAATATTTAGGAAATTTGATGCTTCACAATTATTGTTTTGAAATCATCGAATGCTTTCAAAACGTTTCAAAAATGGGACAACAATTTCTGAAATATTAGAAATAAGGACTAAAAATAGATTTCTTAAAAACTGAATTAGTTTCCGTATATTGAATGAACTAAACAAACTATAAATGTCATAATAGTGAAGGTTTTGAGAAATCTGTTTGGCTAATTAAAATATAGTGTTATGTTTCGCGGATATAATTAAAGGATTGTTAATTTTTGCAATTAGTTTTGGGTTTGTGATTACACATTACAGTATTCAAATTCAGCTGATGAATGGAGTTTAAATCACTAAATGAACGTAGATTCCTTATTAAAAAAAGTGTAAAACAAATACAAAAACAAACATTAAGGAGGTTTTTTTGCTGTTTTCGTTCGTGAATTCAGGGCTATCCTACCAGTTTTAGATTTTGTAAATATTATGTAAATGTAGAAAATTGAATAACACTGGCGTTTGTAATTGATATTTAATATATTGTTAAACAAACATTAAGGAGATTTTTTTGCTGTTTTCGTTGGTGAATTCAGGGCTATCCCACCAGTTGTGGATTTTGTAAATATTATATAAATGTAAAAAATTGACTAACACTGGCGTTTGTAATTGATATTTAATACATTGTTAAATAAACAAGAAAAACGAATTAGAAACACATTTCACAGATTTTTTTTTAATATGAAATACAAGCTGGTGTAAGAGTGTAGTGTAAGAGCAGAGCTAAGAGAAGCTCTTACAGTAAATGCAGAGCTAGCCGTCGGAACAATTTTGAAAAGACAAAATCATTTCAGTTTCAATATAGGAGGGCCAAAAAAAATCGATCACAATTTTAGCTTCTATCTCTATCGGGTGGAGTGAGTTTCGGGCAATACGGTGGTAGGGAAAATTGTAACAGTTATGGAAGCATTGTCATAAGAGAAGGGGGTACAATACGAATAGGGAATTTAACCGCCGGGCGGCAAATGAAAGCTAATACCAGAAAAAACAATGAAGGTAATAGGGATTTTAGTAAAAAAAAAAACGTGACACAATTTTCCAGAATAATGAGAGTGCCAGTTTTTCTAGAGAGGAACGTGAACATAACAGATGTAATATAAATAATAATAAAAGCCGCACTATTTTGGACAATTATGTTTAATCGCACACCTAGCAATTTACTGAAATATGCAACAACAGTACAAGAAATAGGTACATGAAAAATAAACCAGGATTTTATTATTGTGGAACTACCTTTTAATGAGAATGTATGGTAGCGTTAGTTGATGTAGTGGTGGATATTTGGTTGATTTGGGGAAGTTTTGTGAAAAAAAAATCAAGAAGATATTGTTTATGGGTAATAAAGAGAAAAAAAATCTTGTAACTTTAATCCATTGAAGCGAAGAAAATAAACCAGTCGAGTGCCTGCGGCTTTTAAAGTGAAAAACGCCTTTCTGTAATTTAAATGAAATGACAGCAATTTGTAAAGCAGTGTAGTACGACTTAGGTATATGATGACAGATTTAAAGCGTACATGCCCCAACCCCCTCTCACCTCTCAACCCATTATAATTTTCTATGTAGTATAATCAGGTTGGTATAATCAGGTGGTCATTCAAATACTTAAAAAAAACGCCATTTCGAAAAAAAAATCAGTGCTTATATTTGTATAGGTACTTTAATCTTTGTATTTAAACATGTTTGCCAAATTTCATTGATATAACAAAGTTTAAACCGCCAATATTCATCTTGGATTTTAACCATGCAAAAAAAAACAATTTCCAAAAAAAATCAAGAAGCTGTAACTTTTGATCCAGGGGCGCAATCGGCAAACCGTTGAAAATTGTGGATTCTACAGGCTATAAGAAAATGTTTGTTCTCGGTCGATTTCTGACAAGTCGTTTTTTCGTTCTATAGCCTTTGCATTTTCACCGAAAATCGACTACAAAATTTCCTACATTTTTCATATATACCGTTTTTTTGGAAGACCAACCGTTCCATAGCTCCAACGCACCAAACAAAAGCATTCGCATATACAGTGCTATTCATAGAGATTTCGTATGTCTACATTTTGCATTGTAATTCTAGATTTTATTAAAAACGACAGTAAGTAGTATGTTTTTGGTTATGTTGAAGAGATAGATTAAATTCGGCCGCTATTTCACTTAAGTTTCTTATGGAATTCTCTTCCACAAAAATTACATTCAATTTCTTCACCTCCGTTAAAATTGAGGGTTGTTTACGGTGTCTTATGTGGATCGCATTTAAATAACCACTAATTTTAAAGTGATCACCACAGAAAATAAGTCTCTTACGCTCCTTAAACTATTACCTGCACTATACCAATTGACATAAACTTTTTCTTCAATCGCGAACGAAAATAAAAATACGGAAGGCAAAGCAATAATATTCCAATTAATTAATATGACAGCAAAATATTACTTTGTTTTAAGAAGTTATTTTGGTGGAATATAATTAGGTGCCCTTCAGAAGAATTTTCGTCCTTTAAAACTAGACATACATAGAAAATCCCTATGTCTACTTTTGAATGAATATCACTGTATATTAATCAAAATTTTGCGAAAATCGGCCATACCATACCACTTAACTGTTAAGTTAAAGCTTGGTTTTATTATATTAATTTAACTTATTTCATGATGTATAAAGTTAACTTCTTTTGATAACAAAAGAATTTGACAAACCCGATCAAGGTAACTGTACAATAGGACCCTGGCACTCTGATTAATAAAAATCATTCATTTTGATCAAATAAAATCAAAAAAAGTTAGCGCTTTAGGGTGCGACCGGATTTGCAAAATCATTTTTGGTTGCCTCGAAAAGTAGCTCCTACGTCAAAATCTGATTTCTCGTGAACTATTCTTCGGATTTCGATTTCGATGTACGTGTTCCCATTCGCCTACTATAGAGTTAAATTTCTTGTTATATTTCGGAAAGCTAATTTGACAGGACTAGTAAAGTAAAGGAGAATTTACCACTAGTCGATTTGTTAACTAAGAAAATTGTTGGAATTTAGAAAAAAAATTCCACAGTCCGTCGATTTGAAAGAATCATCGTGACCATTTTTGGATAGGGTTGTTTTAGACTTCCACCATCTATAAAAAAATTGAGAACGCTCTGGG